CTTTCGTTTGTAATTAAAAAAAAAAAAAAAAAACCCAAAAGATGTCTTTCAACTATATAATATAAAATAACTTTGCCCTTCGTTGATTTTTTTTTTAATCATAAACCGTGCCTTCATCATTGGTGGGGTGGCTTAAATTTGCCTCTCAATTATGCAAACTAAGAACAAATTTGAACATTGCTTAAATTTGGTCTCAAATGTGCCCTTGTTGAATAATGTTTTTCTTTTTAGCTTCCCACTCTGTGTTTGATACATGTATTGGGGTCTAACTCAATTTGAATCTACGCATTTCATTCTCAAGGGTTCAGACTTGACACCTAAATCAGAGTGAAAGGATCTCAACTATTCCACCACAATCCATGTTAGTTATCATTGAATAACTTACACAAATTTGTCCATCAAACTATTCATAAGAACTACACTCCATGTTATATACACAAAATAAAAATAAAAAGAAGATAATTACACCAATATATTAACTAACTTAGAGCTTCATTCAAGTATTTATTGAAAGAGCATTATTAAGGTGGAGTACATCAAACTCACAACCATATTATGAAAACAAAAATTAAAAAAGCATCACTCCAAACAGATGGAGGAAGCAGTTTATAAGAAAAAAATTAGTTAAAATCTCCTACTTGTAGTTTCTCTCTCCCTGATATTATTAACATAATCATCATCTATTTGATGCAGAGATTCCTTCACTACTCTGGAACCTTCTTATTATTATTTTGGTTATATACACTAATTAATATGTACATATTAGTAATAATTATACACCATTGCAGCAGTCATTTCTTCACACAAAAATAGTTTGTTTGTTTTTCTGTTTCTCTGGTCAACGATCCCAAGCACTCAGCACAATCCTGCAAATATAAAGAGTCAATTACTAAGTTACGCAAAAAAAAAAAAAAAATGCGCGGATTGAATTGACTTTGGATGGATTAAAATGACTGAGTTAATAAATAAATAGATTATTAATCCGCACAAGCCAACTATTAAAAAAATTACCAATCATAGTTGGCAGAAGAAGGTTCCATATTCGCTTTTCCCTTTAGTTGCTTCCTGTAATTCCTCCGTGGTGTACTTGCTATACGAAAATCCAAACGTCAAAAAAAAGAATTAAATTATCAAACATCTAACACCTCAGATTTTATTTTATTAAAAAAAAGTATCATATTTGCTTCTATAATTAGTTTACAAAATATTTTAATGTTAACCTCAACTATAATTTAGAGTCATTCATATACTTATCGTTAACAAATTGTCTCGTATTACAGATTTCAAGCATAAATTGAGTAAATTTTATGTCTAAATCCTTTGAGAAATATTCAAAGAATTAGGATCAAGGAACAACTATAAGAACGATATATATATTAATTTGATTTTAGCTGATATTTATATTATTTTTTTTTAATTTTAAATATGAATAAGTAAATATTTTTGTATAAAATTAAATAAGTATATGCCAAAAGACCTTTAAGTTAAAAGACATGTTTATGATATTTCGTAGCGGAGGTAAAAAAAAATAAGAGGGAAGAAAGTAGAATTAATTGTGGAAAGGGGACTAACGTGCAAATGGGGAATTTGGAGCGCTAGAAAACGCCGGAGAAGATGGACCAGATCCAGAATCCGGCGTAGAATTGCCAGAACGGCCACAAGTTGAGTTGCTACGGAGTATCGTAATGCTCCGGGAAACCGGCATCAGATCGTCGCTAGCGCCGCCGCCACCGCCGTGATGGTGAAGGCCGAGCTTGGTGGGAGACGGCGGAGCACTGCAGGTAGAGCGTCCGGCGAACGAATTGTACTTGCGGAGTTTTCCTAAACCCGATTCCGGTGCCGGGCCGGCAAGTGTGTCGTCCCATAGCTTGTGAAGAAAACCCATTATCAATCAATTAATGAAAAAAACACAAATGATTTGAATAAAAAAAAAACAAAACTCTTAATTAGTAACTTAATTTTTTTTCTTTTTCTTTTCCTAATTTTTTTTTTTAATTTGTAACAACCGTAATTGAGGTGATGCTAAACGTCTGAATATATTATAAGGCGGGGGACACCACCAGAATGCGACTGTTACAAGTTTACAAAGAGAGAGGTAATTTATTAGACAAATTAAAAATTAGTAGATAAAATTAATTTAATTAATCTCATATTATGGTGTTATTAGGCTTTTTATAGAAGATTTTGATGGCTGGGGATATCCGGCTAATATGACTCTCTTTCATTGATACTATTAGTGGTGCATTGTTTAATTTATTTGGGATCTCACATTTTAGTCTAACTCGCAACGAATTTAGAATGCGAGAGGGATTTATCTGAATTTCTCGTTCGTTAAAAAATATAATGTGAGGTATTAAATTTTTATATTCAAAATTATGTAATTTATGAGGGAAAAAAAACACCTTGTCAAGCCCGAAATTGTAGGAGAATTAGTTCAAGGTAACGTGAGATATTTTTATCTTTTTGTTAGAATCACGTCATTATATAAGATTGAAACTCTTGTCTAATGGTTGATGAGGGGGTGGAGTAGGTAATACTCCTTGCGTTTTATTTTAATCGCAAGTATTTAAAGTATTTCTAAATTTAGTGTGAATTATTGATTTTATTTTTAAATTATTATTAGTATTAAAATATTTATTTACTTGATTAATTGAACTTAAATAGATTTTCATCTCGTAAATATGAGTGAAATACACTTCTAAATTCTCGCTAAGTTTAAAGTGTTTTCCATACTTCTCTCAGATTTTTATTCAGAGTCACATGTTCTTACAAGAGTTTGAGATCACTTGTTATGTGGTAGATTAGGGTAAATTTAGAGGTGTTTTCAACTTTTCTCTCAATCTTTTTATTAAGAGTCTCATATTTTTACAAGAGTTTGAAATCATTTGTTATGTCATCTAATAAATTTAAATGTATCTAAGTTTAATTAATCAAGCAGAAAATAATTTTTAAAACGATCAATAATTCAAAAATAAAACTAACCGTCTATACCAAATTTAACCTGTTTTCAATACTTGATGAATTGAATTGTTAATTCAATGGCAAGGAAGGACCCTGAAGAACTTTGGTCCAATTACATGTGGGGTTGATTCCTGCTGGGCGGATTTATTTTTCTGTTGATCAACAGAACACTTCGCGGATAATCAAGACTTCTCTTGGAAATTTTTATAATCGATCGAATATTCGAACTTATATTAAAGCTCTAATTAAATTTAAATTAGAGCATTGCAGACTCCATTTAAAAATAATATTGTCAACAGAATTTTTTTCAATATCCAAAATTCAAACTCAACACCACAATCTAGGTAGATTACTTTCCTAACTTTTCTCATTATGAAAAAGTCGGAAAAGAAAATATCGGTGTTTGATTGTGCATATTTTTATAAGATATCTTTTTAAAATTTACACATAAATAAATCATAAGTATCTCCATAACTATAAAATAATTTCATTAAGAATACATAAGAAATTAAAATTAAATTATTTTAAATTAGAATATTATATTATACTCCCTCCGTCCCATTTTATGTGAGATAGTTTAACTCAACACGGAGTTTAAGAAAGAAGAGAAGACTTTTAAAATTTGTGGTCCAAAATAAATGATAGAAATTTGTGTAGCTGTAAATCATTTCATTAATGGTAAAATAGACATTTTATAGTTAAAAAGTTATTTAATATATAATTGTGTCATCCTTTTTGGGACTGACTAAAAAGGAAAGTAAGTCACATAAATTGGGACAGGAGTATTATTTACTAAGACAAATTAAAAAATGAAAATTATATGTCGACATACTCCGTATGGTAAGATAAGAATGGAAGTAATATTCATTCCTCCACGACAACAAATAAGACACCTTTTTTGTTACCAATTAAAAAAAACCCATACCTTTTCTCAGGCTAATCTACCAAATGAATAAAGTAAGCAGTGACGCACTAGCGGATGTGATTGTTCTTTTCTTAATTAGAGATTTTAAATTTTAAATTTTGGGTATGAAACAATCTTTAGTAGGGACTATGGAGTGTTTCCGCTAAATAGGACCCTAAGCCACACAAATCCAAAATAATCGAGCTCTAATACAAATATTAAACACGGAATTAAAAAACAAAAACAAAAAAGTGATAGAGCTGAACCTTCCACTTGGGGCACATCTCCAAACAAATTGGACCCCACTATCACCACTAGCCACAAGCCACCTTCACCACCCTTTCCAATCATACCCCTATGGATAAATTGTCTCATTTACCCTCACATATTATCATATGAGATAAGATCAAATATTAATTACTATTATTTTTAATATATACATATATAGCCGGAGTTAAATCTCTTATTTCTTCATGTTTACTTATTTATATTTGATTCCTCAAAAATTTCTAGCTCCGCCTCTAACTCAACAACAAAGAGAACTTTTATTTGTAATGAATTCTAGATGATCCCATTTTAAATTAGTCGGAGTAACAAGTTTCAAATGCTAAATAATTAAATAAGATAAATTAAAATAAATCGGCTCATCGTCTTTCCTGGAGTTGGCACAACTCTTTATGATCTCAAAGGGAAGTTCGTATTCCACTTAATAATACATCTTTCGTCTCAATTTATATAACAAAGTAATTTTGATTAAACACCGAATTTAAGAAGAAACGATAAAACATGTGAAATTTATAACTATAAATCATTTTATTAAAAATAAAAAATATATATAAAAAATGAAAGTATATCATGTAAATTGAGAATTTAATAAATCATTTTTGGTATGTGCCACAGATTCTGGAAAATTGACATTATTGATCAATAATGCACAAAAGCTTGTGACAGGCTAGCCTAACCTAACTGAATGACTCTTTCTGATAAGCATAAGCACAAGATTTTTAACAGAATGATCGATCACGCAACTTACAATTGTAAATTAAACAATACTACAATTTAGTTAATCATCACGTATCAGTAAAAATCTCTCATTCATCAAGTTAGGTTAGTTTTACCTTCGCCAACGCATTTGTGACTGTAAACCATCGACTAATGAAAGCAAGGATACATACTTACATATATCAAACGAGTAAAGTTTTGAATAAATTAATACAATACATATTAGTCTTGGTTTGGAGATAACGTAAACGCAAACGCAAACTTCACTCAAATGAAGCGTTATTTACAAAACTTAGCAAGGGAAGACGTTTATGCAGCTTAGTAGGCGCCTCCCATTAAAGAAGGTACATCATCGAAGAACCAGAGGTCCATGGCGTTTCCACCATCCTGAATTGCACTTGTATTGAGGAAGGCATCAACTGATGCATCCCCATTTCCCTCAAGATATGGGATCTGCAAGAACTTCATCTGGGATTCAAAAGCCGATAACTCTTCAGATAGCGTGTTCACAGTGTTACCGTCATCTGTCAATGAAGTGCTGGAACAGGACTTCAGTTTTTTCTCTGGTCTGGCATCTTCATCAAAATGAGTCTCATTGGTTTCGAGAACTTCTGACAGAACAGATGAGATCTCTGGAGTCCTTGCACACGGTTCACCCCAACCGAAATCAGAGCAGTCAAAAGTGTTACTTCCTTCATCAGAGCTGAAGTAAACATTTGTACCAGCTGAAGGGGAAACTGAACCCAGTCCCATATCTCCAGCAGTAAAACACACATTCTCATAGCCGTACTGCTTTGTTGCTGGTTTCTCTTCGAAAAAGCTGAACGATTCATCGGATCCACCATCCAGGTTATTAATATAAGTCATGTCAGGCTGAACTGTGTTCAGGGTTTCCTCACGAAGTGCCTCCTGGGGATTTTGCTTAACAACACGTCTAGAAACAGACACTGGAGCTTCATCAGGAAAGTTCACCTTAGCTTTCTTGCCTCTGATCCTTCGCGCCTCAACATCATAAGCTCTGGCTGCTTCTTCAGCAGAATTGAAAGTTCCAAGCCAGACTCGAATCCCTTTCCTTGGATCACGTATTTCAGCTGCCCACTTACCCCAAGGACGCTGTCTGATACCCCGGTACTGATTCTTCCTCTTTCTCTTGGAGGATCTGTCAGCATCACAGTTTGAATCAACAGATCTCACAGATTTGGAGCCTTTAAAAATAAAATGAATTAACCATCTCAGTCAGTCATAATAGCACCAAAATTCGGAACAATCAATCAGATAGAATGACAAATCAGATACCACGAAAGTGAGAAACATAGAGCACTCATGCAAGGCAGGTTCTCTTATCTCACTAGTACTAGAGATTACTTATCTTTCAAAACACATGCAATAATATGTTCTCTGCTGTTATTTACAGCCAAATTACTTCTATTTATGCTATCAACATCATGTAGCAAATCCTCTGGAGATAGAAAGTTTATCATCTAGAGAATCAGAGTTCATCATCTAGAAAATCTGATATATAAATGACCACTTTACAGTCAAATTGAGTCCAAATTAGGAATCTATGATCCAAAAAACTAGATCTCTCGCAATCTTGGGTTATCATATCAAACAGAATTATAAAAAAACTGACCAAATTCTTTCATCTGGCGCTAACAAACCCTCTGATAAGATGAGAACCGAGGCTACAGGAAACTTTAAGGAGGCCCAAAAATCTAACTTTGTTTGAACACCAACCACAATCCACAATTGCATAAATTACTTAGGATCATCTGTTATCTTAAATGTTCCTTCCTCTATTAATTAGGCAGAAAAATAGCATCTTTCTCCCCTTTTTACAATTCGCAAACATACTATACCCAAAAGTAATCTTTTTTCTCCTCTTAAATGTATATTCACATACTAAAAAGGGGGAAAAATCAATCGAAACCGCAATTTTAAACCCCAAATCACCTAAATCAGTATATTCAACACCAAAATACTCAAACTAAATTAAGCTCTACAAATGAACCACGCAACACTAACCAACTCAGGCGTGTTAGGTAAGACCCAAAATCCTTCCTAATTTCATTGAATCAAATCATTTCGAGTTGATTTTTAAAGCATAAAACGTATTTAAACACGCAAATAAAACAAACAGTTTCAGAAAATCATGGTAACATTTTCAAAAGCTAAAAGGAACTCCTACCTACTAGAAGCTGAAAAAAAAAACAGATGAGAGAAGAGAAAGTACCAAAGGCCTTGACATCCTCATCATCATCAGAGTAATCCTTGAAGTGCTGAAAGTCAGCTTCAAATTCATCTTCAAGGTCAATAAACTTAGACCTCAAGGGCTTTGAGTGGTAATTACTAGGGTTTTTCTTCTTGTTGTTCAGATCGGATGCACCCCATAGAAAGTCGGCCGTTAACCGGCGAGAAATCCGGCTAGGAGGTACCAAATCGGAGATAATTGCACCACCACACATAGCTTTTGCTTTCTTCTCAAAACTGTAAAAAAAAAAAAAAAATTGCAGAGAAATTTTTAATGGAGAAAAAGTTCAATTTGAAGAGAGAATGTACTTTAGTTTTAGGAAGTTTATAAGGAATCAAGTATTTTATATAGAGAAAAAAAGTGGTCCGAGAACTCGGCAGGAACGAGGCGGAGTAAGTTACGTTTCTACCCCTAACGAAGGTGCTCAATTACGTCTTTTTTTTTTTAAACCAAAATACGGATCGATGTCAAAATTAATACGTTATGACATAACTTGTCTCCGTAATTTATTTAAGATCACGAGATTAAGGAAGTATTTCCTTGTAAAATGGGAACCCTAATTTTAAGTTTATAATTTGAAATTAATGTCTTCTTATCAAATCTCAAGTTATGAAAAAATAGAGTTTCAAATTTCAAATTGTTTTTTGTTTTTAAACTAATTTGATCTAAAAATCTATATTCTGAGAATTTTATAGTTTATAAAACTAGACTTGTTAATTTAAGTTTTGTAAAAAAGATAACTCGGGAATGATGTGAATAATTATTTGTAACATGTGAAAACATTATATTAAAAAATAACTAGTTATTATTGTTGTTTTTTAAGATTTGTAAAACTATGTGGATATGAAATCTTGTAATAGCATGTAATTACGTATTTATAAAATAGTTCTTATGATTTTTTGTTACCTTGTTTACAAATTATGATGGCTCAAATTTTGTAATAGCATGTAATTACAAATATGTATTTATAAAATAGTTCTTATGATTTTTTGTTACCTTGTTTACAAATTATGATGGCTCATTTGATAAGAGTTGAAAAGGTTTTGATAAATTTTGCATTTAGTGCTTTAGTCCATATTGATTCATTCAAACTCAATTTAATTACTTGTTTACTACTAAAACTAAAATTAAATTTATCTTTGATTATAAAATTGTATCTTTATTATTTTTGAAATAGAAAAATAGGGAATTTTTTTTTTAAAAAAAGGATAGTGACTAAATTAACTACTTCTGCATTATTTGATTTATCATCTCTGGTTTCCCACAATTAATTTTGTTAAGAAAAATTAAAAAGACAATTTACACATTTTAAAACTATTTTCTCTTTGAAAAAAGTCCCACGATACATCAAATCAGGCGGTGATCAATGAATAAATAATAGTTTAATTTATTATTTTTTAAATATACTAATAAAATTTGATATTTTGAAAATATCTTGTAAAATGACTATAATAATGAGTAGTAAAGTTAAATTATGTAAGATTTATATTTTTTATAAATCTGTTATAAAAGTTAATATTTTTATATTTGAAATTAAAATTATGCAAATACTTATTATTTTTAGTTTCATAAATATTATGATATAATACTTTTTATGCTTAAATAATATTTTGACACATGTTCAATTTCAAAAATCTAAAAAAAAAAACTTTATTTCTAAAAACCCTATCAACTCAAAGGGTCAATGGTTTTGTATCCTTTACAAATTTCTTTTTAATTTTATATTTTCTTATAAAATATTTCCGTATAAATTAAATAAATAATAAAGTACACATGAAAAAATATTTACATAACAATTTTAAATAGTAAATCAATGCCTATTTCCTCTCAAAGTAGTGATCACATCACTAGTAAACAATTTTATGATATTCCTATGTTTTATACTATTTAACTCAACTTGACTTAACAATTTTTTTAAGAAAACTTTTATTATGTATTTATTTGACTAAATGAACTTCGAGCCCTAAGTATGAAGAAAATTTTGCTGGGAGCGCCATCCTCGATTGGGCCCTGCAGAGAGCGATCCAAATTTAGTCGGAGCTCTAGTGTGGGCTCCAAACACCGAGTGAAAAAAAAAAAGACTTCATCAATAATACTGTGCAACTCCATAACATAAAAAAAAAATTAAAAAAAAAGAAAAAGAAAAAAAAGACTCTAATAAACTCTTTTTCATTTATAAAAATTAAAAACTATTTTCAATATAAGAATCAGATAAAATAAAATGAAGCTAGTAATTAAAATATGACTAGTACTCTCCTAGGAGACCTTGATTAGGTCGTGGTGGTATCACCATTTTCACCTAACTTTATGGAAAATATAATAAATAATTTAACAGAAGAGAAAACTCTAGATTTATCAAATAGTAGATTTTACTGCTCCTAAATATAGAGGTCAAAGCTACTAGTAATAACACACGTTTTTATTGAAAAAAATTTAGACACCAACTTTTTTATATTTGTATAAATTATAAATTATTCTTATTATTTGAATACATCCGTAGCGTAAATTGTAAATAAATTTAAATTCATTTTTTGAATTATGCTAATTTTGAAAAATGATTTTTCACAGAATCAAAAAATTATACTAAATAGGTACTTTTTGATTAAAAATAGTTTAGTAAAAAACAACTCTTACTCTTTAGAGATGAGAAACATTTTCAATAATATAAATATGTACTAATTCAAAAAGGAACATAATTAAATAATTTTATTAGATAAAAATATTAAGTATTGGGTAAAGTATTTGCCGTAAATTTGGATGAAAAATTGGAGCTGACCATAGGACAGACGGCATAGGGAAAAGGCAATATCCTGAAGATTCAGAAATAAGGTCATTTGCCCATTTGTTCATATTTTGTGCTAGTTTTTTATTTTTATTTTTTTAATATATTTTTATATTATAATATTTCATAATTATATTTTTCATTTTTTAAGATTTTTATATCTGCTACATATAAATTTAATTTTTAAGGACAAAAAATATAAAATATTAGAGATAGATAAGAGGAAGATACTCGGATAGTAAATACACTTCACTTTCAATCCTAAGGGATCGTTTGGTTTGAATACAAGTTACAATAGGACTAATTATGATTGGATAAGTTATGATGAGATGAGTTATATTGAAACTATATCTTATTGAGTGTATTGGTATATTATATTTAAAATAATATACATTGCATATATTTTAAGAACAAGTTATTTGTTTACAAAAATACCCTTCACTTTATTTGATGTTTTATATTTTCTTTGCAATCTTTAGTTATTCATTCTTAAAAATAAAACTATTACACATGCATTTTCATGATGGTATTGTATGTATTTAAAAATAAAATTTTCTTCTATTTATCTTAAAAATAGAACTTCTATCTTAAATTTGTTAAAGTAAAAGGATGGTACCATAATTTAGTCCCAAAATAAATTATTCCAAACTTACCAGCAAAACAACAAAATGAATCGCAACATAATTTAATTTCATAACTATTCTTTTCACGCTTACACTCTGTTTGGATCATTATTGTCCATTGTATTGTATTGTATCGTTACCATACTTACAATGTTTGTTTTGATTGTTACTTAAAATGTATTGTATTGTTAAATATCGTAGTTACATAATAATGAAAATCCCCATTTTATGAAACAATCGATTTGGTGTGTTCCCATTGTTACTTAATTTCTTTTTTCCAATTATATCATGACATAATATTTCATAATACTTTTTTACCCTTTACCCTATATTATTTAATTCTAGTCAAACCTCCTACCCTAGAATAATTAAGGATATTTTAGTAAATTTATAAATTACAATACAGTACGATACAATCAAATCCAACAATAAAAATGTTATTAAACGACAACAAACAATACAGTCTAGCCAAACATTATATCTACCATACAATACAATAGAGTACAACACAACATAATATATTATAAATTAATGAATAACAATGATCCAAACAGAGTATAGACAATACTTAAGATTGTCTGTTCGAATCACCGAAGAAAACTCTTGTGAAGGGATAAGACGTGGGGACTAATGAAGAGTAAGATGCCAACTATTTAGGGAAAGAATCCAAATTAGGCCGTACTAAATTATTACGTTGATTTTACGACTCTGACCTTCCCTTTCACAAGGGTTGTTTGCTTTATACATGTCTATTTGTGCACCACTAGTTACAACACGCTACGCTGCTTCCTTATTTGCAGCTTTGTTGCCTTTAACAAACTTAGAAATATTTTTGTATAACCATCCATATCGATATTTATCGTCTCAATTAATTTAAGAGAAAATATTTAAATATATTATTAAATTTTGAGAAAAAATTATTTACGCTATTTGTTGAAAGTTTGACTTATTTATGTTATTTCAGTTAACAAATAATCACATGAATGAGTCTTTTCTCAAATGAAAACTGCATAGATGAATCAAACTTTTAATTGATGACATAAATAAAAATTTTCTCAATGTTTGATGACATATTTGAGTTTTTTCCAATTAAATTAATGTACGTATAAAAGCATAAACAATATATATATAAAGAAATCTTTATTCAAATGATTCGAATATGAAATCTCTAACCAACTAGTTAACGATAAAAGAATCTCACTTATTCAATCATCTTCTTTTTAAGTTTTGCGAGTTGCTTCGAAGAGGGGGTGGGGTTGTCCTTTAATTGGCAACAAAAATGAACATTAATTACATTTTTTTTTTATCAAATTTAGATTTTTTTTTTGTATAATATGGTTATATCGATATTTATTGTCCTAATTAATTAAAATTTGTGTTCATATAAAAATGAAATTTCTCTTTATATATATATATATAAATCTTCAGTAGTGGAGCCGTATATACTTGAAGGGTGTCGATCGTTACTCCTTCGTCAGAAACTACCATTTTTATAGTTAAGTAAGAATATTTTAATATATATATTGACATTCTCTGGCTTCTACGTGATTTTACATCTTTATATTTTGATAGCCTTTCGGACTCCACCGCAACTGATTCAAAGGATTCAACTATGAAATCTCTAACTAGTTAATAATAGAAGAATCTCAATTATCTCACGATCTTCTTTTTTAGCTTTTGCGAGTTGAGTCGAAGAGGGGATGGGGGTGGGGTGGGGGTGTCCTTTAAGTGGCAACAAGAATGGATGAGAAACATGTAGGATAGGGATCCGACATGTAGATAGACAAGGCATATACTGACTGCTCTGATCTCTAGTTAAAGTTTATGTCTATTCATCCAAACCAAAATGTATCTTGTCTGTGAATATGGTATGGGCTAAACGTATTCCAAAATATCACAAATTATTATATTTAATTAATATAA